AAAAGTGAGGGGAGTCAAAAGCAGGCAGCTTGCCATATGTTAGGTGAGCATCCAGGTGAACAATCAGAGAAGCAGATATAGGAATGTTTATATGTGTGTTGCAACGTTCATAATGTAAAATCCCCCTACAAATCATTTCAAAAGCAGAAGGAACACAATTTCTATCTTGTTTTCTCTTCCCTGCCTAACAGGACCCACACAGAGAGTCATCATGTGGTTCTGGCTCTCAAGTGATTCAGTTGGTATTTCTTGGCCAGACCAGCAGCAGACACTGTTCCAAAGGGTGCAAGCACAGTTTTATTACAGGGTCCAAGATGGGAGCATATGTTGGCTGAATAAACCAGCATCCTGAAGCTCTGACTAAGGGAAATATCCACTGAGCTAAGCATTAGCTGCTAAGTATAAAAAGGAGCAAAACAATCTTGGTGCTGCGTGTGACCCAATAATAATGTTCCAAGAGCAATGTGAAAGCAAACAGCAGCGGTTGGGGGGGGGAGGAAGTATGAAAGCAAATCAGTAACAGATTTTTAAAAATCTGAAGCAGAATTTGAAAACTAGGTTTGATCCATCTCTGCAACTATCTTAGTCCCAAATAACTTCTTTCACTGGATCCCGTGGCTTCATCAATATCAGTCTGCGTGATGTCATTTCCCCAAAACAGTTCACCTCCAAAATGCTGTTATTTATTAATTTATTGAAGTATTTGTAACTCCTTTTTTGTCTTAAAACAATTTCCAATATGGCTAGCAGTTCAACCTCAAGCACATGAAAGAAAATACAGCACATACAGCACAACACAAAACCAACAACCCAACTCTTCATAAGCCAGCAGAGATATAACAGAATATGGAAACTATCAAACAACCAATGTCTACAAAGCATGTTGTACAAAAGTTCCATGTCTTTGCTGTGGGGTGAAAGATCAGTAGTGATGGAAAGAGCATTTTCCACGTGTGAAGCCACAATCAAGACCACATCCTGCACACTCATAGATTGCACATTATGGTGCAGAGTTCCACTGATTTCATTGGGATGAGATGGGCTTAAATCCAAATACTCCTGCTAAACCTTTTTGTAGATCAAGCCGCAAGGTATCTGCCTAGTTGCAAAACCTGGCACCATCCCAATATATCAACAACTTTCCTCCAGTATAACTGCCATCAAGCTACTAAAAATATTGGTGGGGGGGGGATACTAGGCCATACTAACCATGGAAAATGAAAAAGAAGCACACAGCAAGTCAGATTCTGTGCCAAAAGAAAGATGATGCCCCAGTGAGTAAAAGAGAATGAACTTGTCGGCCATTCATAGCAGTTATTGGTCCCCACATGGGCAATAACAAGAAAGTTCCACATGGCTTTTGGCAGTAGTGCAATTTATAATGAGAAGAGCTTGCTGAATTATTTAACCATTAAAGACATCGGTACAACTCGAACAGAAATCAGTACCGTGTATTACTGCCTATAATTATATAGGAGAGCACTGATCTAGAAACTAAGGGTCTAATATCTTTTGGCACAAGAAGTCACCGGAGAGAGGACTAGTGAATGGGAACATGCTCCAGCCGAAGACAGAGAGATTTCCTTTCAAGAACTGAGCAGAAACCCAGTTGGGAAGTTATTACTTGGAAGAACAAGCTAAAAGAAAACTTGACACCAAAGATTTAATGGAGGCTGCTTCCTACTTTAAAGTTGTCACTCAGGTATGGATAAAGGTAAAGGTAAAGGGACCCCTGACCATTAGGTCCAGTCGTGGCCGACTCTGGGGTTGTGGCGCTCATCTCGCTTTATTGGCCAAGGGAGCCGGCGTACAGCTTCCGGGTCATGTGGCCAGCATGACTAAGCCGCTTCTGGCGAACCAGAGCAGCGCACAGAAACGCCGTTTACCTTCCCGCCGGAGCGGTACCTATTTATCTACTTGCACTTTGATGTGCTTTCGAACTGCTAGGTTGGCAGGAGCAGGACTGAACAACAGGAGCTCACCCCGTCGTGGGGATTCGAACCACTGACCTTCTGATCGGCAAGTCCTAGGCTCTGTGGTTTAACCCACAGCGCCACCCGTGTCCCTCAGGTATGGATACCCGGGTGCAAAACACACCTTCCGTGCATCGCTTAAAAACACTTGTGAAAGGTTTTTATTTTTAACACTACTGAGAAATAGGTGAGGTTGGAGGGAGCAGATCAGCTGTCTGAAGCTGGTGGACTCATAAGAACATAGGAAGAGTCCGCTAGGTAGACCAAGGGTCTGCCTAGTTCAGTACCACCCTTTTACAGCTCCTCACACTGGCCATCCATATGCCTCTTCGAAGCTCATGAGCAGGACAGGATGCCCAGCTGATATTCAGTGGCATGCTGCTTCCGGCCATGGCAATCCTCCATATCTATTATTGTTATTTCCCTCCTGACTTTGTCTAAGCCCCCATTTAGATGCATCTAAACTGGTGGCATTGCCGCATCTCAGACTCTAATGGTGATGTGTGATGTATATCCTGCCAGCCAACTGTCTCAGAGTATCCAAGGTTCTGGGACGCGGGTGGCGCTGTGGGTTAAACCACAGAGCCTAGGACTTGCTGATCAGAAGGTCGGCGGTTCGAATCCCTGTGACGGGGTGAGCGCCCGTTGCTCGGTCCCTGCTCCTGCCTACCTAGCAGTTCGAAAGCAGGTCAAAGTGCAAGTAGATGAATAGGTACCGCTCCAGCGGGAAGGTAAACGGCGTTTCCGTGCGCTGCTCTGGTTCGCCAGAAGCGGCTTAGTCATACTGGCCACATGACCCGGAAGCTGTCTGTGGACAAATGCCAGCTCCCTCAGCCAGTAAAGCGAGAATAGCGCCGCAACCCCAGGGTTGGTCATGACTGAACCTAATGGTCAGGGGTCCCTTTACCTTTACCTATACAAGGTTGTAGCATTATGAGAAAGGCAGAAAAAAAATCTCTCTGCCCACTTCCTCCACATCACATACAATTTTTATAAGCTTCTACCATGCATGCATTTCATGCCCACCCCTATTTGTCGTATTTTCTAAATTCAAAAGGCCCAGTCTCCATGAAGCAGAACTAATAAAACCTTTCAAGTTTGATCCCTTGACTAGTGCTGTTAAAATGCAACAGCTTGAGGCTGTGCTTGGGTTCTAGTGCAGAAAGTAGGAGGTGCGCGGGGAACTGGCTGTAAGAGCAAAAGCTTACAGCTGCCACTGGCAAGACGCTGCTTTGTTCCCCCACCAACGGCTCTTTAATTCCTCCCTTTGGTCAGTGCAATTTGTGAGCGTGGGATGGCTACGGAGGAAACACACACATGCCCGTTCCAGGCTCTCATGCCATAGCATGCAAAATGCTGGGTTGCAGCTAAGATCAACCATCTGTTTCCTTAAGCATGTGGAAAACTCAGCTGAAGCCTGCACATGAGGTGAAAATGATGCGACAGACAAGCCTTTCTTTTCTGATAGGTCAAAAACCCCATGCACACATATTTACAGTCTCAAAATACATAGAAGGAGTCATTAAGAAAAGATCAGACCATGGTTTGCATATGTGTTTTACTGCAGGTCTTTAAACTTGCATGCGCCATTCTCTATTGATGCATTTAACTAATGACGGAAATTAACATTATTTCTACCCTTCTTTAGTTTTGAAGAATTTTACAAGGCAGCTTACATAAAAACAAAATACTATAATGTGGTAATCCTGACAACCATGATCAAAAGTTCCATTTCCACCCACACTCTCAGTTGTGGTCTGTACGGATAGGGAAATACTGTGTTCTATTTTATTTATTTTTACTTATTTATTCCAGAATTTACAAACCAGAGAATTCCCAAGCAGTGGCAGAAACTGGGTATAAACCATAATGTAGTATCAAAACATAAAAACCCTGCTAGAGATAAAAGAAACTAATTTAGGAAGACTTGGAAGGAAAGCTTTCAACCAATGTCGAAAAACATATGTTGGGGCTTCCTTCACTTTCCTAGGAAAGAGGATTCCAGAGAACTGGCACCATAATGATATAATTGTATGCTCAAGCCAAGACACAGTTTACTGCAGGAGCATGTGGCACCATCAACCAATCTATATCTAAGGTAAAGGTAAAGGACCCCTGACAGTTAAGTCCAGTCACGAACGACTCTGGGGTTGCGGAGCTCATCTCGCTTTACTGGCCGAGGGAGCCGGTGTTTGTCCGCAGACAGTTTTTCCAGGTCATGTGGCCAGCATAACTAAGCCGCTTTTGGCAAAACCAGAGCAGCGCATGGAAATGCCATTTACCTTTCTGCTGGAGTGGTACCTATTTATCTACTTGCACTTTGACATGCTTTTGAACTGCTAGGTTGGCAGGACCTGGGACCGAGCAACGGGAGCTCTCCCCGTTGCGGGGATTCGAATCGCCGACCTTCCAATCAGCAAGCCCTAGGCTCAATAGTTTAGACCACATCACCACCCGTGTCCCATAATCTATATCTAGAACTATCTATATTTAGAACCGATCTATATCTACTATTTTTTGCATCTGGCAAAGAGATGGGGGGCACACACGTGCAAAGACTAGGGAAAAGTTGTGTTCTCACTGCGAAAAACCTGTCCCCACCAAAGTTTGCTGATGATTCCTGGGGACAGTGTGAGTATATGAGCAGACTCTTTGAGCATCCTATGTGGGAGAAACTCAGCAGGTCCATGCTTCTCCAACAAGGTAAAGGTTAAATTGTACAGGTGATGGAATCTAGAAACCTTGCTAGCCCAAGGTGGTGGGTGACCTTACTCTAGGTTAATGTTGCATACAGAAAAGACATCAACCCTATGCCTATGCAGGCGTCATAGCTTCCATGTTGAAGATGGGGGTTGCATTGAGCAGTTCCGCCCCTTGACATCATATGTTCCTGTTTAGGCCCCTTCCGACACAAATGTCTGCAGGGAGAGGGCCTTCATGTGTATAGTTCTAGTGATTGTCCATACAGAAGATGGGGAAAGAGGCACTTGGTGTGGCCCTGCTTCTTGCCCCCTTTGAGGAAAGGCCACAGCTCAGTGGTGGAGCATCAGCTTTACATGCATAAGATCCTGGGTTCAATCCCCAGCATCTCTAGGTAGGGCTGGGTGAGACCCCTGCTTCCAGTCAATTTAGAATAATAATGAGCTAGACTGACCAACATTCTAACTCAGTAAAGGCAGCTTCCAATGTTCATCAATATGGGAGATGCCACACCCACCTAAGGCTTGATTTTATTCAACAATAGTACAGAGCCTTAAAGTTGGTGCAAGTTTTAATCTGTTTTAAGCCTATTGCCATTTTAGCATTTTGGATGTCTTAAATTATTGTTGTTAATTTGCTTAGTGTTACTTTTATTGTTCTATCTTTTTTTGTAGACTTGTGTTTTTTTTCTTGCAGTCAAGTGGGGTATACATTTTGTGAAATAAATAAATATTTCTGTTCTAGAGGTTGGATCCAGACTTAGTTTTCCTCGGAGCAGGCCCACAGAAATAAATGGGATTGAAGTTAGTCGAGACATGTCCCGTTGATTTCAACCAGTCTACTCTAAGCATGATTAAGTCTGGATGCAACCCCTCGTCTTAATCTGTGCAATTCTACAATAACGCTACAATGAAGTACAGAGCAGCAATCATTACATCATTCTGCATATGAATATTTCAAAATAAGTTTTTGAAAGGCCAAATTAGGCACTTCATGGTGCGAGTGGTAACCTCCTTTAAAACAATAGTCATGCTGAACATTTGGCAAAAGTATTTCTCTAACAACCAAAACAGAAAAAGATGGTGTCTTAAGCCAAACATTTTGTTCACATTTTGAAACACTAGCCAAAGCTAAAAATGGACATAAGCTGGTCACGTTCTACTGACCGAGAAACACATGAATGAAATACTGTTTTTAGAAGTTTTAAACAGACTGGTTTCTGAGCCGCCAGGAGCATAACAGTTCATGCAAACTTGCTCTGCTGCCTACGAAACACAGGGATGGGAAAAACACCAAAACTGCAGGCAGCCAAGAAGAGGCAGTTATAAAAAAACATGAAAATATGGAGAAACAAAAAGAAAATATTCTCTCTCTCGTGTGTGTGTGTGTGTGTGTGTGTGTGTGTGCATCAACCCATGGGAATATGGGGATTCCTTATTGTTTCACAGGAAATTTAATACAAAAAGATATCACTCAGCATGCATTTGTATCGAATACAGTAAATATGCACCGCACAGGACTCTGTTCTTCCGGCAGCTGAAGTCAGTAAGGGTGGGAAATTTCGAGGCGAGAAGGAGCTATTTAGTGTAGTTACTCCTAGCAATGTTTTGAATTAGCGTGAGCTATTATTTCCACTGCTCTTCTCTGCAACCCCCACCGCAAAAGCCACGATGGCCAATTCATATAGCGTGGGAGAAGAGAAGCATTGAAACAAGAAAGAGGAAAGCAAGGGCATGAGAAAAGGCATTGGGAGATAGCTTTGTAATGCTTCCCCCTGCTTTGTGCATTAAAATGTATCCTGCTCTATTGGCCTGCCTGGGCTCTGAAATCTATATGGGAAATCCTTCTCCTTGCACCACGTGAGAGGAAAGGTGGGGAACATGCTGTTGGACTCCAGCCAACAACACAGAGTCCCAACAAGCATGGCCAATGGTCAGAGACGTCTGGACTTGTAATCCAGTTCCATCTGTAAGTTCCAAAGTTCCCCATCTCTTCTTTCAAGGAACTATTTTGGTTCAATTCAAAGATTTATCTTTTCACCCATTTCCTTTGGAGAAAACCGAAAACGCCTGGGTGAGGCCAGTTGGAAATAATCACTTTGCTGTAGTAATAGGGTTTCTTTTAATTGTATAGTAGGATTGTTTTAGGATTAGTTTTATTGGTGTTTTAATATGCCAAATGTAAACTGCGTCAGATGAAGGGCAGGGTTAAAATGCAATAAAGAATTAAACATGCTAAAACTGGATGTTCTGTTTTGCTGCACACATAATAAATAAATGTGTCCTATATTTTATTTTATTTTAATTTTTATAGATGATAGTTTGCCTCTGTCTAGTCCAGCTGGCATGTTTACTAGGTCTCTAGATCATCTCTGAATTTTGTTTTTGTTTTTTTAAAATAAATCTTGTAAGTTTAGCAAACATATCTTACGTTTCTGCACATTTCTGTCTAAAATTACATTTGAGACAAATTTGGAAGTGCCCACTCAGGTGAAATGAATTTGCAGGATTTCCAACAGAAGGTTGGTGCCAGCTTCTCATTTAATTAATTTATTATAGCTTTACCACCAGAGGAGTGCCAGGTTTTCCACCTCAGGTGTTGAAATGTCTCTGGCTAGCGCTGTTAGGAAGATATCATCCAACTTCTAAATGTCAATAGGATTAAATATATTCTCTCTCTCTCTCTCTCCCCCCCCCCCTCGGTCACCAATTGTAAAACTGAGTAAGAGAAGGCAGCAGGGTGTGGGCTGCTTTTCCTCTGCAGAGGTGATGGGACTGAATATTTGCATTCCCCCAGTCTCATTACTTTGTTCCACAAAGAGTGTTTGTAGAAGTGGCAGAAGCTTATAGGACTGCAATACACCTTGAAAAAGGAGGCACTGAAAGTGTTTGGAAGAGGACATTCCCTACTGAGCAGACAGGGGGCGGATCTGCAGGAAGTGCCGGAGGAGAAGGAGAAGAGGAGGCAGACCCGACCCCAATGGCCACAGAGAAAGCCAATGGCAGCGCGTGAAAGCTGACAAAACTTTTAGAGTTTCTGGTCTGTGGTCTCTCCCAGCTTCAGAGGCACCAATCCAGCTCCTTGCCAAGAGCGCAAGGGAGCCTAGGTATGCTTCTGACTCTGGTTGGACAATTTTAGACTTTGGACTCTACACGTTGAGGGCGGTGGCTCTTTGGGTGGCAATAATGCATTGCTTTACTTACTGATTTCAAAACATTAAAAGTCAGCACTGCCAAATTCCCCTTCCCCCGGCACTCATTTTGCTGAGTTGGACCTCTGCTCCAAAGCTGTGCACTGATGTACTGAATATGAAATCTAACCCAAAATAGAGAGGCCACATTTTTACAGTAGTTATACGCACAATAGGGACGCGGGTGGCGCTGTGGGTTAAACCACAGAGCCTAGGACTTGCCGATCAGAAGGTTGGCGGTTTAAATCCCCGTGACGGGGTGAGCTCCCGTTGCTCGGTCCCTGCTCCTGCCAACCTAGCAGTTCGAAAGCACGTCAAAGTGCAAGTAGATAAATAGGTACCGCTCCAGCGGGAAGGTAAATGGCATTTACCTTCCCGCTCTGGTTCGCCAGAAGCGGCATTTACCTTACCTGCTCTGGTTCGCCAGAAGCGGCTTAGTCATGCTGGCCACATGACCTGGAAGCTGGACGCCGGCTCCCTCAGCCAATAAAGCGAGATGAGCGCCGCAACCCCAGAGTCGGTCACAACTGGACCTAATGGTCAGGGGTCCCTTTACCCACAATAGATTACTGAGTTCTGAGCAAACTTTCTCTGCTATTAGCAGAGTTCCAATGGTTTGTAGGCAAGTGGGCTTTATATATATATCTGTGCTAGAATCACCCATCAAGTGCACACTTCTGTAACCCAGAAGATGAAATAGTGCTGCCTCCTAAGCCTGTACATAATTGTAGGGCTTTCTGTAACCAGCCCGACAGACTTTCCAGCATGTTATACCAAAGATTCACATCTGAAATGCCACTACTTATTTTAATTTTGCATGGGCTGATGGCGTAGACCCCGCTGCTCTCCAAGGAATTCATCGAGCCTGGGGCTTGAACCAAATGCCAGCCAAGGCAAGGGGAGCTATTTGTGTATCAAATCCCCGTGATCTAAAATGGCTGAAGAACATTTCATGGGCTTTTAAGAAAAGAAAAATGGGACAGAAAAAACAGACCTCAACAGTTGTGTGGTTTTTTGTTGTTGTTTTTTTTGGTCAAAGAAGGAAACCTCAAACCCATAACCCTCAGATCTTTCTTCTGCTCTTCACCTGAAGGTCCCAGGGTGGAGAATACATAAATATTCAAATTAAAGCATTAACAATATATGAAATACAACACAGTCTCATTAAAATTACAATAAATCTCAAAACAAACAAAAGAAAAAGCAAGAGGCAGCAGAAGCTATATAGATTTTACTGTCCACATTCTTTGTCCTTTCTAGCTTTTTCTGAGTAAACCCTAAAACGGAAGTGTAAGAGCATAACGATTCAGCTTGCCTCTGTTACGTCTTCCTCACAGGTCAGAAGAACAGATGGGTTGAATTCTAGATACCACCCATCAGCCTTTGCTCTGAGACAACCAACCAGCTATGATAACCCAAGTCACAGAAAACTGATTCCCATCCATTATTCTTCCAAAAACAGTAGGATGTCAGAGGGATGATGTTCAATGATGCTGTTAGTAAAATTCACTGTATCTGTGTTTTAGTCAGACTATGGATGCTGTAATGAGTATGAGTTACTCGTGCGTAAACTGGTGCCTCTCTAGGCTAATTTGCCTTGTTAAACCTTTCTGACTGCACAGCCCTTTCTGATCATGACTGTCTCAGTCACTAGCAGAATCCGTCAGTGGGCGTTTCTTGAATCTCTTCCAACATAAGAGTTGTTTGACACCCAATCTTCTCCGCCTCTCACTGCGCGGGAGCCTTCTGCGCAGGGAGGGCGTAGGTAGCGGAGGACCTGTCCCCTCCTCACTGAGTTCCAGTGAAGAGTCCGTGAGCCCTCTCTCCGATTTTCCCATCTGCTCACTTTTGTTCCTGGTGTTGCGCTTAAATGCTTCCCCCTCCACTGAGTCGCCTCTCCCCCTGCTGCTGGGTCCTTCTCCAGCATCATCCAGGAGCCTCCCCTTCACCTCCCGCTCTGATGTCAGTTCCCTGACAGATGCAGAATAATTTTTTTAAAACAAACATTGACTGCAATGTTTTCTTACATATCTTCATATAGCCAGGAACACACTTGCGTTTTTCCTTCTAGAATTCCCCCTTATCTTCTTATGCAGAACAGTATGAGCTGTAAAATATAAAATATAAGAATAGCCCCGCTGTATCAGGTGGCCCAAGGCCTACCTAGTCTAGGATCCTCATTTCACAGTGACCAGTCAGAAAC